TTCTAAAAAAAAAATACCATTAGCGAAAAAAAAAAATAATCATTCCTAAAATCTTGAAAATTAATTCTACAAAAAATTTAAATTTAAAGTCTAACTTCTTCAGCTTGAATTTATGTTTTTAGACCAATTTTATAATAAATATTTTATTATAAGAAAATAGTAAAAGATAAAAAAATTACTTTACACTTATTTCTATAAACTTGTAAAAGATAAATGTATTAACAATAAGCAAGAAGTATACAAATATTTCTATAAACTTGTAAAAAAATTACTTTACACTTATTTCTATTAATTTATGGTTTTAAATTTTAAATATATTTATATAATAAACAAGAAGTATACAAATATAATTATATTTTGTTATTGCTTTTTTTTTTTTTTTGCTCTTCTTTAATTGCTATGTGTGAATCCATGTCTATCTTGCTGACTCCTATGGGCTAAAGTTTTAGAAGTGTGCTATTCTTGCCTAATCCTCCTGATCTCGATGTTTTACGTGGCAATTTAAGCTTCTCAAGTTTTCTCACAAAAATTTTAATTTGGCCTTAAAACTAGAGAATTTTTATTTTAATATTTAAAAATAAGAATAAAAAATATATATTTTAAATATATAGTTTGTCGTTTCTCTTAATTACAATCTGTTAATTGATTTTTTAACTAATTATCACACATTGATGTAACAATATAATATGTTAATTGTAATATAACACATTAATATATCTCTTATTATATTAATTTAAAATATATTATATAAAGTGACTATAAAAATATTTTATTTTATTTCTTATATAATACTTTATAAAAATATAAAAAATATTTAATTATCTTATATTATAATATTTTTAATTAATACAATTAAAAATATATTAATTTGTTACATTGTACTACTTTATCATGAGTTAACTAATAAATTTTAACATAAAATTAAAATAAATAAAAATTTATATATTTAAAATTAATTTTAATATTTTACGTTTATGAAAACTGATTTGAAATTTTACTCATCTTTATTTTATTTAAAATGAAAAAGCAATGTGATGTAAGAAAAGTCATTTAAGTGACATGTATCTTCAAATTACACATTTGACAAAGCATTTTTAATGCATTATATCTGAACTTAACCTCAAATGAGATATTAAAAATCTGAGAACTAATTGTAGGATTTAAGGCCGGTAAAATAAATAGAATTACGAATACAAAAATAATAAATTATGAGAGTTTAATAAGAATATATTTTTTTAAATAGGATATATTTTTATTTTATTTTACTATAATTACATATTAAAAAATTAATTAGACATATTATTTTTTTTTCATCTTATCTAGTTTTAAATCAGATATTTTCATAAAATAAAATTTATATTAGCGAGTAGAATAGAATAAACTTGTAGAGTAGATTTATTATATCTTATTAGTTAAATAAAAAAAAAGCGTCTTATTATATCCACTCAACAAACTCTAAAAAATTTATAACTACTAATTTTTGTGTGTAAAGTACGAGTATTATTAAATTAAACTATTTCTTAAAAATAAATAATTAATTGATTATAACTGCAAATAATCTGTATCTTTTAAAGAGACAGTGATACTTTTTTCTTTTATGATTCAATATTTTGTATCAATGTGTACTCACATCAAATGTACTATTTTATATTTGAATATTTTATTTTGCAAAATAATCCCTTGGGATGCATTTTTTTAAAAAAAAACTTGGATGTAGTTTTCTTGCTCTTCTTCAACCTAAACTATGATGTTCTTTTTATATTTATGTTGTAAATGATGGTAGTTACGATCGATCAGATGAGTGCTTTAAACTTTCCACCACACCCAACTATGAGAGATAGGCCAACGTTGATGGGGAAAAAAATGCAGCATTAAGCATTTCACTTCGTTTCTTTGTGTAAAATCCTTCGAAGGCAACGTTGGAATTGCACGCATCAAACGAAACACACAATTTATAACAATCACCGTTGATGAGATGTCAGTCGAAGACAAAATCATTCTTAAACGCTAATGAAACATAGGCTTCTAGAGGCAAGGAAGTGAATCTGAAGCCCCAAATTGTTGGGTCCAAGAATTTAGATAACCAGTTATTGATCGTTATATATATTATTTTTGTTAATTAAGCTTTTAAATTAACGTTATTGTTGTCAAATTAACTTTTGACATAACTCTTAATGTCGTGACAAGTTTTTTTTTTTTTTCTTTGTTTCTTAATAGAGTCTGAAATTAAAGATTAAAATAAATGACAAAAAAAATTTTTAAAGACTAACACGATAAATACTAAACTCAAACTCTCTCTTAAGACTAGATTGAAAGTTTTGTCGTTTTTTATCATTTATTTTTCTCTCACTAAAATGAGCTATATACACATTAATAATGTAGGGTCCATTTATTTTTTTATGTCAACTCAATTCATTGTAATTTGTTTTAATTTGTTTTACACTAGACCTATATGAGTAATGCTAGCCGGTATATCCAATCCTATTTTTTTTAAAATGTATAAAAATAAGTGTTACGTAATAATAAAATTTTGTATTATCAGAAAAATTCTCTTTATATTAAAAGCTTAAATTTATGAAGTAGGAACGAATTATCTACTAAATTTATATCTTTATATTCTGATAAAAAAAATATTCAACTATCATAAAATGTTCACGGAGGGTAATCCATCACCATCAAGGTCCAATTAGTTGGCTATTCTTGTCTATCTTCGTTTGATCCCGAAGATTCTACGTTTCTTAGCCTGAATATATTATTTTTTAATTTAACCAAATGCTCAAGACTCTTAATAAAATGACAATTACGATCTTTTCATGTATTTAAAATTATGATTTTATTTTATTTTTATTTTTATTCCGAGTACCTCCATGCATGATGATGGTGGTCTGATGGTTTATAATAATGTTAACAAATCGATGCAGATGCAGATGCAGATTGATATAAATTATTAAATATTTTTTTATAAAAAAAAACCCACCCTTTTCAAGAATGCGAGATCAAACTTCTCTTAAATCGATTAGTACTTTACATGATAGTTATTCCATTAGTACCAAAGATACATTTACAGTAGTGACAAATTTAATAACTTTTTGCATAATTGAAAAATAATTAATTTAAAGCTTATTATTAAATATACTATTTTTATAAAAACTAAATTAATAAGTAGTTTTTATTATTTTATTTTAATAGATAATATATTTTTAGATATAAATAAATATCAAATTTTAAATAATATATTTTAAACAATCACAGTGTATTAAAATTGAAAATTTGTCCTTGTATTTAATATTTTTATGCTATATTTGTGCGAAAATCAACTTTTTTATCAATATATATTTACATCTGAAATTTTATATGTATAAAAAAATCATTTTTATGAAAGCACAAAAAATATTATGAAATATCCAATTATTGTAAAAATAATTAAATTCATGAATATATTTTCTTCAGGGCGCTAAAAATAAGCATAAATATAATTATGTATATAATAATTTAAGCTAGGGTGATGTGTAGTTTAATAATTGAGTACTAAAAGAAGAAATGTGAAGAAAATGATGAGCCAGATTTTTAAACAATATATCCAACAGGCTAACCCCTTAACATGGAGAGTGGGGACAGTTAATTCCCTTGTATTTTAGCATATTTCGTTTCATGTACCCGCTGCTAAATTAAAACATTATCCTTATATATTATTCCAACATGGTCCATACGTTAATGCATTTTTAGATTATCCTATACTTCTACTTTTCTTTTTCTATCTATTTTAAATTATAAAATTTTAACCTCACTGTTAAGGCGAGTTTAAAAACTAATAATATTTAAAATTTATTAAAAAATATTTATTATATATTATAACTTCAATTTAATGAAATTTCTTATTTTTAAATGCTTAAACTCAGTCTTATAGACTGAATCTAACAAAATTATTTTATATTTTTAAAAGAATTAAAAAAATTATCATTTTAATTTTTTATTAAAATCTACTACTTAACATTTTATTATATCCTTTATACATATAAAAAGTAAAATGACGATAATATGACTTTTTTTTTTCTAGTGAGACACGCACACGCGTCTGCACTCATACATAAATATCTTTATAAAATAAGTTATAAGGATATATTCTTAAAAAACACCCTTAGAATAATATGATTTATTATGGGTTTAAAAATTATTTTGTGTTAATGGTTATTCATTGGTAAGCGACATTAAGATGTAAAGTGAAATAACTTTAAGACAATGAAGAGTAAAAACAGAGAAAATTGCTATATATTGTAAGGTTAGATTCGCATAATCTCTAATACTCTGGCACATTACATCGTCCATGATTATCAATTAAAGAGTAGAAATTAGACGTAGAAGATCTTAAAGTATGTAACTATACACACTTGATTTATTAGAAAGATCTTAAAGTATGAAATTTAAATTTTTTAAAATTATATATTAATGAATAGACCAAGAGGGTTCACTTATGACTTAACAAGTTTTAACCGATTTTGGAATGGGAGAATCTTCTCCTTTTCTAATCCATTAATCACCATAAATTATTATATTTGATATTTTAAATTACTATAAAATAAAAATTTTGTCAATAATTTCACCTAACACGCAACAACACTCACAATTTCCCTATAAATACAGATTCTGTTGCCCGGTCTTTTGCGTTGTTATAAACTTATAATTAATTAGGTGGTATTTTATGTTGGATATGATATGTTGTTTCTCCAGGTAACACATGTTGGTGGCATTTATGAGTCACCACTCTCATTTTTTATTGGATTCCCATGTGAAGTATATATTCAGAGATTTCTTCTTTTTCTTCTTCTGTACACTTTAAATAATTATTTGAGTGCTTTACTAATTTTTAATCGCTGAGTCCCTCGTCAATGCTCTCACCATTTTCTGTATTACTGATGGATGATGTTTTTTTTGCTTCATTTTATTCACAGTGACATCTGAGGCAAGCTTTCCTATGATACAACAACTTTTATAATGTTTCTCTTTTAGCTTTATTTATTTTAAATGTGACTTTGAATGCTTTTTCTGTGAATGCATTGCTGATGTTCAACAACTGTTGTTAATTAAAAGTGGTTAGTGTGTCATTGTAGTTTCTGTGAAAGAGATTGTGTTCTCTTTTAGATTAATGTGGTGCATCTGAATTATGTGCGGGCCTAGTTTGTATGGAGATTGAGTTTTACAGATTCTGTTGAATTTGTTTGCTCAGTACCTTTGCTGTGTGCAGGAAATGGCTAAAATGGCCATGATTTTGTTGGGGCTTTGTCTACTAGGTAGCTGGGCAGGCTTGTTGAAGGTAGAATACATGAAATACAAGGACCCTAAACAGTCAATTGATATGCGGGTTGATGATCTTATTAGCAGAATGACTCTTGAGGAGAAAATTGGTCAAATGTTGCAGATTGAGCGCAAGTATGCATCTGCTGAGTTGGTTAAGAAGTATTTTATTGGTAAAGACTAGACCAAACCTTTCATTTTCTTTTCCTCCTTTTTTTTTTTTTTGCGTGTGTGTGGGTGTGTGTGTGTGTTCTTTACCCTTTTTCTATGGTATGTTCATTTACTTGTCCAATAATGTAAATTGTTTCTTTTCTGTGTAGGGAGTGTTATGAGTGAGGGAGGGAGTATTCCAGCTCCACAGGCTTCAGCTGAATCCTGGATTGACATGGTGAATGAATTTCAGAAGGGTGCTTTATCCACCCGGCTTGGAATTCCAATGTTTTATGGGATAGATGCTGTTCATGGGCACAACACTGTTTACAAAGCAACTATTTTTCCTCACAATATTGGGCTCGGAGCTACTGGGTATATAGATATTAATAGCACCTCATATCTCTTACTTTGAATTAGAAAAAGTTATATTCTCCATCTATACCTGATTTTTTTATTTTATTTGAACAATGGTGATGAAACAATTCAGACATTTGTTGTCAAAGATTCTAGAGCAACTAAAACATGGATGGGTTTGAAGCAGACTTGCACAACCTAGTTATAAAGGATAATGATGGATATTTTTGTTTTTCTGATTAGGGACCCTGAACTAGTTAAAAGAATCGGAGCTGCAACTGCCCTTGAAGTTAGAGCAACAGGAATTCAGTATGTTTATGCACCTTGTATAGCAGTAAGTAATTATAACCAACTTTGATGCTCTCAACTTATATTTTTTATCTCTGGCTTATACTCTTTATAGGTCTGTAGAGATCCAAGATGGGGGCGGTGTTATGAAAGCTACAGTGAAGATCCTAAACTAGTTCAAGCCATGACCGAAATCATATCAGGATTGCAAGGGGACATCCCTGATAATTCACCGAAGGGTGTTCCTTTTCTAGCTGGAAAGTAAGAATTTAAAATTAAAAAAAAATCGAGATAATTGTTCCATTATGTTAGTTTTAAAGCTTGTTAGTTGATATTCTTGCTCTTTATTCAATTGAAGGAGTTCATTCTTTTAAGTGATTGATTTTGCTTAAAGTGAGTTGCACCTAAATGGTCTTGAGTAAATATATATACACAAGCTTCACAAATATTTCCCTTAATCTAATTCTGTACCTGTTCTAACATGGAAGTTCAGTCCATAGAAACAAATTACTGTGAGATAGAAATAGACCAAATGGTTTGAGATAATTTGTCCCCTACAGCAGTATGCTGCTTATGTTAGGCTGTGCCACACTATAAAATTCCTATCTCATCTTAAATTATGCAATTGATTTTGGTTCAGTTAGTATTATTAAGTGTCTGAAATGATCATGTATTGATGGACAGGGAAAAGGTTTTAGCTTGTGCTAAGCACTACGTCGGTGATGGAGGAACAATCAACGGGATTGATGAGGACAACACTGTTATAGATAGAGATGGATTGATGAGAATTCACATGCCTGGTTATTTAAGCTCAATTAACAAGAGTGTGGCAACCATTATGGTCTCATACTCCAGTTGGAATGGAGTAAAAATGCATGCTAACCATGACCTTATTACTGGCTACCTCAAGAATACTCTCCATTTCAAGGTAAAAAATCCTGTTCATTGAATGTAGCATTGAAACTGGTTCATCATCATTTGGGCACAATTTTAAATAAGCCCTCACCTTTTGTTGGAAATATGGCAGGGCTTTGTTATTTCAGATTTTGAGGGTATTGATAGGATCACCTCTCCACCTCATGCAAACTTCACTTATTCAGTTGAAGCAGGAGTGTCTGCTGGCATTGACATGGTAGTTGAGCCTGAAAGTACATGATACAACCTGAATAGATGTTCATCCACTGAGGAGACATTTAACATTCTTACACACTTTTGCTTATGTTTGCAGTTTATGATTCCAAAGCTTTACACAGAATTCATAGATGATCTAACCATGTTGGTGAAGAATAAGTTCATTCCTATGAGTCAAATTGATGATGCTGTCAAAAGAATTTTATGGGTTAAGTTCATGATGGGTATTTTTGAGAAGCCTTTAGCCGACTACAGTTTGGTCGGATATTTGGGAATTCAGGTTAGCCATCTTGTTTTTCTCAAGTGTTATTTTTTCTTTTTTAACTTCACTAAGTTCACAATTATAATGATCACCTGTTTCTCTTCAATGTTTACCAAAATTCTGAGCAGGAGCATAGATACTTGGCTAGGGAAGCTGTAAGGAAATCAATGGTCCTTCTAAAAAATGGTGAATCTGCTGATAACCCTTTATTGCCTCTTCCTAAAAAGTCACCAAAAATACTTGTGGCTGGAAGCCATGCAGATAATCTAGGATATCAGTGTGGTGGCTGGACTATTGAATGGCAAGGAATCAGTGGAAACAATCTTGTCAGAGGTAAGATATTTTTAAATTAACATTTCTATTATTAAGTATATATTGCAACTCCTCTGACTATTGTGTATCTTCATATGATCAGGGACTACAATTCTCACTGCAATAAAAAACACCGTTGATCCAGAAACCAAAGTGATCTACAAGGAGAACCCTGATGTAGAATTTGTTAAATCCAATGGATTTTCCTATGGTATAGTTGTAGTAGGAGAGCATCCTTATGCTGAAATGCATGGTGACAACATGAACTTGACAATCCCTGACCCTGGTCCTGAGACCATAACAAATGTCTGTGGAACAATAAAATGTGTGGTGGTCATTATTTCTGGTCGCCCTGTAGTTATTGAACCATATGTTGCTTTAATAGATGCACTTGTTGCTGGTTGGCTTCCAGGTAGTGAAGGCCAAGGTGTGGCTGATGTCTTATATGGTGACTATGGTTTCACAGGAAAGCTTCCAAGGACATGGTTCAAAACAGTTGATCAACTTCCAATGAATGTTGGAGATCCTCATTATGATCCCCTCTTCCCTTTTGGGTTTGGCCTTTCTACCGAACCTATTGAGGCCATTTACTCTGCATAGCTATTATCTTCTTCGGTTTAAATTATACCTCTCCTTCACAGAAGATAATCATGTTGAAGTCGAGTAAACTGTTCTTAATTACAAATATCTTTTTTTATATATTTAATACAGCTACTTGTCCATAGATTCAAACTTGACATCACAATGTACATGGCTATCATCTTGATCTGTGTATTCTTTTATATATATATATATATATATATATATATATATATATATATATATATATATATATATATATATACAATAAAAGAGGGTGAGAGGTTGTTCTAAATGTATGCTTGAGATTTTTCAATTTTTTCTTTCATAAAAGCTGCTTCAGGTAAAATTGATTTTCAGTTCTATTATTTTTCTTGTCCTGTCCTATCATATTTTTTCGTGCTTTCATATTATTATAATCAATTAAAGGAATGTGGGCATCCGATTTGTTTGTTTGGGTAATAATTAATTGGATATTTACTAAAATTTAGGATAACCTAATAAGCATAATAAATTAAATACTGGTTGAAGATATGCTTCTAAGAATTCAATCTTCGCAATTCATAAAAATGTATTCACTTATACTTATCAAGAACAAGTGAATTTTTATGTCTGGCGAGGGAATGGGATCCTGACTTTTTAATAAAAGTAACTCTAGTTTTCACTCAAAATAGTTTTAAGTTACTTATTCCTATATCATTTTTCAACACATTAATTGAGCTTCAACTTAATACACATTTATACAACAATGTACTTGAAAAAAAATTTAAGTCACAATGAAACAATTATTTTTAAATTTAATAAATATTAAAAGTAAACATTTTAGTTATTAATAATTCATATTTTACTATATTAAATAAGAATAAATTAAAGGAATACTTTTATAATAAAATAATACATTATTAAAATTTTAAAATTAAATATTTAATTTATTTAAAAACAAATATTCAATAAAAATAATATAATATAATAAAAATTACTCTTAAATATGTTTTCATTTGAAATAATAGTAATTTCTTAAATACGAACTCATAATTCATATGTAAAAATAGACAAGTGTTTCGTCATTTCTATCAACCTAACTATTTTGATCATGGTCCGATTCTCTAATTAATGTATCTCGTTCCCATTTGCCGTTTGTTCTGCAATACCGTCCCTTCCCTGCTCTTTTTGATTAAAAAACAAGTGACAAAAAGAAGTAAAGTACCGATTACTTGTGAATTTTTAACCAAAATAATATATAAAAAAAATAAAAATATTGAAATAGACCTATCCCAAAAATATTTACCAAAGTAGACCGAATTACTGTTTACGTACAGAATTCGACTCCTCGAAAGCCGAAATCTGGTCTTCAAATTCGTGGCGAGAAAGGCGACTTCTGAGAAAATACGAACCGCTCTCCAAAGTCGACTTCTGAGAGCGGTTAAATAAGAACCGCTCTTCAAAGTCGACTTCTGAGAGCGGTTAAATAAGAATCGCTCTCTAAAACGACTTCTGAGAGCGGTTAAATACGAACCGCTCTCCAAAGTTATTTTAATATGATTTATGAATATTAATATGATAATATTATTTTGAATAATTTTTTTTCATTTATCTCAATCACCCATTTTAATATTTATTTACCTAACTAATAATATTTATCTCAACATTTTTTTATTTATTTTAATAATATTTATTTAATTAATATATATATTAATATAAAAGTTATTAATAAATTAAATAATAAAATTATATTTAATGAAAATAAAATATTAAATTTTTTAAAAATTAATAAATTAGTTTGTAAAATGATATTAATAAAAATAAAATAATTTGATTTATGATAATATCTTTATTTTTTAATTTATTGTATGCAAAATTAATTAAATGAAATCATTAAGATTATTTTTGTTAGATAATATGAAATGAATTTATAGATAAAAAATTAAATAAAAGAAGATAAACAACAACTAAATGAAACTTTCATAATTAAAATAAAATGAAACAGACATGGAAATAGAAAAGAAAATACAAAATACACATTTAATTGGTTAAAAATTAAAAAAGATCTTCTATTACATATTTTTTCTCTCCATGATGGTCAATATACTTACTGTCATGCCAATCACGAAGTCTTTCTTCAAGTGTTGGGGGTCGTAGGTCTTTTGTTTCTACAAACAATTCAATCTTTGACCAGTTATGTGTACGTTGAATGCTTGAATGAAGTTCAAATATTTTTTTCCATCGTGCGATCATCTGTTGCACATCAAAATCATTTTTGATTTCTATGCAATCATAGACGAGTTTTTGGTTGATGACTCGGATCGGTCGTCTATAATTGATTATTGTAATTTGTTTCCTGTCTCCATAATCCAGTACCTTACTTACCTCTTGAAACAATTGATTGAAAGTCCAGCTGTGTTGGATGATCATTCTTATTGGGTAAAGACATTTAAACGTAAGGCCATAACCATGTGGACAGTTCATGATGATGGCATGCTGGATAGGTCCCCCAAAATATATTATAGCTTTGCTAGAAGTGATGAATTGAGGGTTTGATGAAGAGCTTGGGGCTGGAGGGTTTAGAAGCGTCATAATTTGTTCTGTTGATCTTTGATAGATGACATAAATTTCAATGATTAAAGAGACTGGAAAATTGGATTTCCAGGAAAGCATCTGCGCCACATGAACATCAGTTAAAATAGAAAAAGCTTCAAATATAACTAAACCCTCACCACTGTGATTTGGTTTCCGATAGTACAAGTTAGTGAACTGGGTGTTATGATCAATGCCTAAAGCATTACAAATTCTTTGTTTCAGCTCCACGAATGTGCACTCATGTGGGATCGTAAATAATTTTGGAGATGAACACTGAAAGCTCACACCTTCGTGATTATGGGTAATCTGGCCATTTGCAAACGTAACAGCTAGATGAGAATTTGTGAAATTGTCGATGTTTGTTATATCGAAGTCCTCCATCTAAAGTTTTGGATGTTAATGTTATATTTTGTAATGAATGTGTAGTGTTTGTTAACTACATGATATGTCTTTTATAGACAATTTGTAAAGTAGGTGCTTGAAAAAAAAAGGATGGTCAGGATCGTTTATAATGTGTTCAATGGTTGAGATTAACTTTGGTAACGTAAAGTCAATGACAATTTGCACACTGACGCGGTGTCATTGATTCCTGACGTAAAGTTAATGACACTTTGACGCACTGACATAAAACAATTGATTCCTAACACTCTGACGTAAAGTTAATGACAATTTGACGCACTGACGCGGTGTCATAGATTCCTGATGTAAAGTTAATGACACTTTGACGCATGGTCCATCATAATAAACAGTATCCCGAATGAAGAACATGAACACGAATATGACTATTTATAATGGCACATTGGATTCCTCGTCATTCAATGCTATATCACATCTTACGAGTGATTTTGACCTCTCCATGACACAATTCTCTCCTCCCAACCAATAGATAGTGACTAGTCAGTCACGCTCAACATTAGATTCTCTTCTCATTCAAGCTATCTCACATACTTCCAAACGAGCTTTGTCTCCTCCCAACCAATAAAGATGTCTTCTGACATTCACGTAAATTAAATTAGTTTTTTTTAAAAATGACATTATTTAATATTATAATTTTTAATACTTTAATTTTGTTTGAAAATGACATTATTTAATATTATAATTTTTAATATCCTAAACTCTAAAACTTTATGATTATAATTTTAAATAAATTTTATTTGAGAAAAAAAATTTATTTTTAAAAAGTAAATAAAATATTAAATTATAAGTTAATTATTTATACTTGAGACAAATATTTTAATATTAACGGTTTCATATTATTAAGGTAACATTGATGAAGACAAAGTGCATTAACAAAGATGATAACAAATTCATAACAACATTAATAATTAACTATCTCCGTAATGGTGGCCAGTTCCACAACGAGGGCGACGTCTGTGACGTGGTGGGTTTCGTCGTTGTGGTTGTTGCTCTGGAATTTCAGGATGAACTTGTGGAGGATTTGGATCATCATGAAGGTGTACTTGTTGGAATGCATTTGATGAATTACCAGGTTCATTAGCAAAATCCGATTGGTAAAGAGACTGCATGTAAGTTTGTGCTGAAGATGGAGTTGTAAAATCAACTCCAAATAAGTTTGTAAAAAAATCCTCCGATGTTGTTGCAGACGAATGTCTTGTATTAATAATGTTTGCTTCTGGCGTAAAGTTCGGAGAAATTGATGCAGTCTCGTGGTACGACGGTGTGGAAGTCGTACCGATTTCAAATGTGTTGGTAGTCCTTAATTGTTGGTCACTCCTCCTTGGATCTTGTAGTAGTGGTGACACAGATAGAAAATAGATGGAATTGGCAATGGACCATTCCATGTATTCTTGTGTGTGACACAATGGGCTTTGCATTGGATGACCCGTTATTATCAGCTCACGTCTGTTGTTCCATATCTCGATCCATTGAGCATGTCTTGTAACCCAATTTTCATCCTGTCTTCCTCTCATGTCAATTTTGTGGAGGTCATTCAAATTATTCGGTGAAGAAGGGACTTCTTGGAAGAGACGAAACTGTAATTTGACTCTATCTGTTTGGTGCCATTCAACAATTGCAAAACAAAGGATGGCAGTACATGAAGTCCACAATTGGACATCTCTATATGCTTCCATGGGTATTGATGTTTGCAAGTCTTGATATGGCGCCCATAAAAACTACAAATAAAATTAACTTTGTTACTTAAGATGATGTATAAAAGATAAGAAAATAAATATGAAGAGTTACCTGATTAGCTTGAATGTGATCAAACATTGATTTGTACCCCACAACATCATTGTGAGGTTTATTTCGAAAGTTGAGTACTCTACCCCCACTCCATCTGCACACGAGAGGGTATGTTGGTAAATTACTAGAAATTGGCGCAATATATGGCATGCGATACCATGCCCAGGACATTAAGAGTGATGAGTAACCACCCATTGTTTTGCTACCAACTTCCGTGGTTCTACACATTTCCCTGTACAACATAGCTAAGCAAGCAAAACCCCAACTATATCGTCTTGTTCTTCTAAGATTAGTTAATAAAGCTAAATACATAAGATGTACTTTGTTGCCTGTTTTGTCAGACATCAAAACACCTCCAATTAAACCTAGTATGTAAGCCCTACAATGAGTGTGAACTTCTTCTTCAGATGATTCTTCTTGTAA